AAACAAAAAAACAAACTTCAAGCCAGTGAAATCAGATTCCCAATTATTTATAGCCCAAATCATCCAAAATGAATAATCTCATTATTTGTGTGGAACAAATGAAGTATTTCCTGTAAAGTGTTTAGCTTTGTGAAATGTTAAAATCATTAATAAAACTCTCTATTGTGGAATTTTTCACTGCTTCTTTACTAATAAGTATCAGACTGTCTGAGAAACATGCATCAGAACACTTGACCAGAACATACTCAGTTTCCATACACTATGGGAGATATTTTTTTAATTTTATGAAGAAAAGTAATAGATTTGCTCACAAGAGAGTTAATAACAAACATATCATTAGCCAATAGACTCCCCCCCAGGGGACCATGGTGGACACACCAGTGCAAACGCTGCCCTTGTGACATGGATGAAGATCATGTCCCCAAGTAGAATGTTTCAATTTTGACACTGGCAAATGAATTCAAAGGAAATATAAAAAATGACAGGCCTTTCCAAAATTGTCTATATGATGCCAAAACTCTAGGCTCTCGGGCCTGGAAGGGACACAAGGGCCCAGGCAAACATTCCTTTGCCATGTTTTTTCACTCTTTTATACTGTCTCTAGAGCCAACGTTCCTTATCATCTTCTCCCCATAGGCTTTTTGGATCGCCTGGAATGCACGTGGATCCTACACCCACATCTTACCACATCTTCAGAGTTGCTGCCAGAGACCAGATAGCCTGGCATGAGATCTGAGACTCGGTACCCTTTGCTGACTGCAAATATTAGCCCCTTATCCCTGAGGGGTCACCAAGAGTGAAGAGCTGGGAGGCCTCTCCTTGTCCACACCCTAGTGGGCAACTAGAGAGGAAGTCAGGTGACTAGGGTCTGGAGAGACTTAACGCGTAGGTCAATGCCAAGGATATATGGGCAGGTTGGGCAGAGCTATCTATGCCAGAGAGCGATTGGGAGCTCTTGAAAGACTTTTGTCCTATTCTGCCAATGTGACCTGTTGCCTCTGCACCACCCCCAACAACCCTTACCCTAACTGCTCCTCACTTACCAGATACCCATTAGGGTCATCCTGAGTCCTCCCATCAGAATTAATCTCACTTACATATTCTGACTATACCACCACCATAAAAATCTAAATCAATACTAATTTAGCTAAATATAAACCAATGTTTTTAAATTTGTTACACACCTGAATCAACTGGAGAACTTGGTCAAACACAGGTTTGGGAGTCTGAAATTCTACATATCCCACACACTCTGGGTGATATTGAGACTGGAGGCCTATGGACCACTTCGAGTGGTAAGATTACAGTTTTTGAGTTCCTTTAAAGGCAAGTGGAACATCTTTTGTATTTGTTACCAGCTTCCAGCACAGTGCTGGCTAATGGCAGGTGACTCACACATCTTTGCTGAGTTTCAGTGCAAGGGCCAAGGATGCTAAGATGCTCCTTTTAAAAGAAAATAAATTGTTTGAACAACATCAGAGTGTTCCTACAGCTGAGATGGCAGAAAGTCAGCCTGAAGGCTGGATTGGGTTCACAAGAGCAACATGAATTTTAAGCAAAATCAGCGCAGTTGCTTTACAGATCCAGAAACCCTACTGCATTACTCTATTTGTGTTCCAAAGGGACTGGCTGATACTAGACTGTAAGCCACAAGGCCAACTTATTAGTCAACACTGAAGGATGCTTTTCCAGTGGCTGAATACACCTGACTGCTTAGGAGAACTCTGGTCTCCTATACCCATACTCTTTCCTCCTCCTCAAATCCTGGGTCAAGGTTACTGCCGTTAAATACAATGTATAGAAGGCCACTGGTTTGGACTGAGCCAGTACACCAGGCCCAACAGACCAAACCAAAATGGAGTCAACTCATACTGAAGTTCCATGCCATCAAGTTGTCTGATATCCCAAGAGATCTGGAGAGATAGCTGCCAAATGTTACCAATTGAAGCCAAAGAAAATGACTATGCAACAACTAATCTCTTTTTTGTTCTATTTCTGTTGTTCTCAGCCCTTTCATCTGCTCCATTCACCAGCATACCCATTCTACTTTATAGAATGAGATGTTCCCAGATTCTAGACTCACAAAAGCTGAGTGAGAGGTTTAAATTCATTTTAACTTTGTCCTTTTGATTGTAGGGTTAACTTAAATAGCCCCATTCATCTATGCTGCCTTGGAATACAAATAAGTGGATGGTCCCATGGAAGGACTACAGCAGACGCAGGAACAGCTTGGCATATTCTCTCTTCTGTGAAAAGACCTCACTTCTGTGGTACACATTTTATTTTCTCATGAATAAAGCGGTTTCTGTTTAGGCGGCACCAGGCGAAGTCAACTTAAAAAGTTCTTGCTTTTTAAGGATCAGTGTTTCTGGACTGCTGTCAGCCAGCCTCTCACCAGTTCCCATATGCATGTATCTTGTTTGTCTTTTTACTTTATGGTAGAGACCATGTGTTCACACCTGATGATTTACTTACATCATTCATGGGCACCTCCAGACTTAGATTCTAAAGAGCCCAAGAGGATAATCATACATAGTATGAAATGGTGACACAAAGGCAATGATGCAGACACCTATAATTTGCACAGGAAAGTACACTGTCCTTCCGGGAGGAGGTGGAGCTTAAGCTGAGCCTTGAAGGGCAAATGAGGAAGAGGAGCTTCCCAAATCAGAATGAATTAGGGACAGAAATATACAAGCCGACCTCGAGCTTCAGACACATGTGGAAAGGGACAGGAAATGAGACCCAGGCAAAGCCCCAGGTGCCTTGAAGGTTGTTCAGGGATGGATATTACCTGTGAAGCCATAGGATGCCACCGGAGAATCCAAATCAGCTGCTGACATGATTAGCTTTCTTTCCTTGAAGCTCACCTAGCTGCAGCAGAGATAAGAATAAAGGAAGCTTGAATCTGATTGAGAGATATTTTAATAACAGAGTCTTTGATGCCTAAACAAGGGAAGTAAGTGAGGATGAAGCAGAAGAAACTGACTAGAGTTATTTGGAAAGGAAAACATGTTGATTAATAGACTGTGAGGAGCTGGGCACGATGACGCCTGCAGGTAAATCCCAGACACAGGTATCCAAAGCAGGTCCATTAAGAGTTCAAGGCCAATCTGGGCTGAGTATCAAGACTGAAGTGGAAAAATAAAACATTAAAAAAAAAAGTGACTAGCAAGCTGCCAACACTTTCCTCAAATCAACTTTGGCTAAAGTGATCCCGTTCAAGCAACAGAAGGCATCGAATTCTTGGGCTGGGCATGTAGCTCAGCAGTGGAGCACTTAGCATGTGGTGAGCATAGAGGTGAGGGGTGGGAAAGAGGGAAATTCCATTTCTCATGGTTCTTTCTCAAATGCTTTGTATATGGATGAATAGAAAGGAATAAAAAGGAAAGAGAAAGCCTATTACAAGTGACATAGTAACAGCTGATGCCCTAGAACAAACACATTTTGGTACTTTGAAGTTCTCTCTCTCTAAAGTAGATTTATTAGATATTAGCTATTGCTTGCATATATAGCACTGCTTACTTTTCTAATTCTTGGGAAAAATTGAATAGATATAAAATAAAATTTCTAGAATGCATATAAACTATACAGTTGTGATCCAGTCCATATTCTCACATTCCTCACTAACTCTAAGAACAAGAAAATATTGTCATTTTTGATGTCTCCTATGTCCCTTTAAAATCTGTCATTCTTCACCTTTGGAGGTGACCATGTTCTTGAGTTTTGATTCTAAATGTTTCTCATGTTACTTATCTTTATGTGGTTTTTGAATGTTGCATATGGAATCACGCAAGGTACAAAGGAAAGACAAAAGTACCTCTAAAAGGAGATGTGTTCTATTCTGTGAAGATGATATTTAATATAATCATATTAAATCATTGAAAATTAGAACAGTGGCAATTCAACAAAAGAATTAACAAGAAGAGCAACATAAAATTATGGTTTTCATATCAGCAATAATTACGATAGAATTCTATCTATCTATCTATCTATCTATCTATCTATCTATCTATCTATCCATCCATCTAGTGTTTTTCTGTGTAGCCCTGTCTGTCCTGGCACTCACAGGGATCTACCTGTTTCTACCTCCTAAGTGCTAAGATTAAAGGCCTGTACCACTACTGCCTGGCTAAAATGAAACATTCTTAATAGCAACAAAATGTAGTTAAGGGAACCCTGTGTGGTCTTTGTGAAACAAAATGAGACATACTCTGCATTTGTTGTCTGTCATTAAGGGTAACATGACCACCAAATTCTAAATAAATGTAACTTTATGAAAATATTTCACAGCAAATTATTATACACTAATAACACTGTTATTAGCTTAAAAGGTTTCCAGCATGCTAGGCAAGCACTATGTCCACTGAGAGACAACTCCAGCCCTTAATAAGGAACCATGAGGAACACATACTGTATTGCATGTTTTCTCTGAGTTCTTTAGTCTGTGAATTTAGAGATGATTAGAAGTTTGTGTCCCTTAAAATTCATGTGTTGCAAGAGTGAGCCTGTCAACAGCCTGTCACAGAAAAGGCAGGACTCAGGAGGTTCCACCCCTCCCTGAAGATTTATGTGGGTTATAGGTTACAGATTAATGGTGGAGGAAGAGACCTTTTCTTCAATGTTATAGGCACTGATAGGTGCCCAGGCTCCTGTGGAACAATTCCCACATATCTATAAACAACTTTAATGAGACTCATTGGATCACATACACACACACACACACACACACACACACACACACACACACACACAAAGACATGAAACGAGAAATGAGGCTAGCTAGAAAAAGGGAGATTGGCTTAAGTGGGAGGAATCCAGAAGAGAATAATGGGGTTAAAATGACTGAAAAATGTTCCGTGCATGTGTAAAGATGGTATAATGAAATCCATTATTAGGTGCAATTTTGTGACAATAAAATATTTTCATGTGTTAATACAAGATGATGGTACTAGGAAGTGAGGCCTCTGGGGAGGTAATTAGGTCACATGGGCAAAACCTTTATAATTGATAGAGGCACACCAACTGGAGACCCCCCAGAGAGCAGGCTTGATGCTTGGAAAATGTGAGAACGCAGTGAGAACGTGCTGTTTGTGGGAAACCATGCCCACCAGACACTGATTCATTTTGAACATCCAGCCTCTAGCAATGAGATACTTTCTGTTGTTTATAAGCCATGTGCTCAATGGTTGATATTATTCATAGTATTTTGCATTCTGCATGGACCTAGACAAGACAAAAGTGAGGAAGGTAGCCAGGGCACTGAGGAACATGTGGGCAGAGAGACAGCAGGCCCGGGTCGTGGGGCGTGAGAACATCTGTCAGCCAAGCATTGCGATGGAGACATGCTGATGTCATTGTCAGTGGTTAGCTGGTTATCAGTGAACCAGAGCAGAAGACCATAACGGAAACCATGACACCCACCCCACCCTAAGTTTGGGTTTCCTCCAAAACCATTTCCCTCCTTCAAATGAATACAGTGGGATGGGTAGAGGTTATAAGTAATCTTCAGGAGGCTCCCTCCATGTCCCAGAGCCCGGAGAGAATGGCCATTTGCTTTTGCTTCTGCCTTTGATCACACCTGCCTTGGAATCCATGGGAGGGTTTGAGGGTCATCTGTACCCTGGCCTGTCCTTATTCCTTTATGGACTTTATCATGCAGGACTTTTCTCTAGGGCTGTGATATGCAACTCCCCTGTCCAATATCCACCACGCCCTCCTTGGAGCAAAGGAAGATGGGCAAGGTCACGGCAAATGTATTATACTGGTTTTCTGAAAATATTGAGTTCTTGCATTTTAGTAGTGCAAGAGCTGCACAGCATCCATTGGCAGCTGGTACTCATCAGCAAAGTGCATCATCAGAGAAACTTCATGTACCGCAAACAGTGGCAGCATCTCACTCTCTACATGTCCTTCTTTCTGAATGGGTGTGTAGATGTGGTCAGCCAGAACCTGCTGCCCAAGAGGTGCATAGTTCTGGAGCAAGGTGCCCAAGCCTTGAGCATGTGTCTCCTTTTGCCACTGATGGTGTCTCATACGCAGGACACGGAAGGCGTAGAGCTGCAGACTCACATGCTGCTCATCCAGGCCCTGTTTCTGCTCACCCTAGTGGTGACTGTGGAGCTGTGGGCTCCCAATGAACTGCTGCTTTGGATGCTCAAGGCCTTTCTGTACCTTGTCACGGGCTCCTGGCTGATGCAGATTAGCTTCATGCTCTTCAGACCAATCTCTGGCTATAAGTGGATGGACGATGACAAGAATGACATAGCCTTTGCCACCACTTTCTTCTGCTGGCATGTGGCCTTCAACGCCTTCTTGATGATCTGGATCTATGGCTTCTCCATGCTGTGGTATCGTTACCTAGTTGCTGATGCCTGAACCCGGACGTGCCCACGTGGGTTCCTGTTGCCTTCACACTCCCAGGACATCTGGATGAGAAATGATGAGGAGCAAGCTGCCAGGAGGACATCTTCAGAGGTGCCCCACCTTGAGACAGCAGACTGTGGTGGGATGGGTATGCCTTCTTCCCTCTCTGGCTTCTCTTCATTTAATTTGTGGATGGAAGGGTGCAAAGAAAGATAAATGAACAAGAAAGGCACACGGCTATGACCTTCACTCTTAGCTCCCTGCATTCCTCTCCCACCCCCACTTCCAACCACAGCACCTGGTTGCCCTGCACCTCTTTGCACCCCACTCTGCATGCCTCACTCCCCTCCATGAGAACATAACAAATGTATGAAATCCTGCCTTTGGAACTTCTTTTTTTTTTCTTCGAGACAGGGTTTCTCTGTGGCTTTGGAGGCTGTCCTGGAACTAACTCTTGTAGACCAGGCTGGTCTCGAACTCACAGAGATCCATCTGCCTCTGCCTCCGGAGTGCTGGGATTAAAGGTGTGTGCCACCAACGCCCGGCTGCCTTTCTAACTTTTGATAAATATCTTTTACTTAATCACATAGAGCATTAACCGGAAGTCACATTTAGCACATGCAAATTCAGCCATCCTACTAACCATCTCCATCGGTTTTTTGGCCTGGACTTCTGTGATGCTCATTCCAAATTTGACTGTATGAAGCTCAGAACTTGTCCTGGTTCTTTCCTCTGGCCACTTCGTGATGTGTCAGACTGGAAGGAAGTCAGACCCTTCCTCTGCAGGATCTGGCAGAACTCAGTGACCCCCAACACATGGGAGAAGGCCACAGGAGCCTCCCCAAGCATGGTCAGGTTCTCCTCCTCAGCATCCCCTCCCATTGTCTGGACTCATCTCCATCCCTTTCCAAACAGTAGTCTTGCCCGGCCCCAGCCCCGTTTGGTTCCTATGGATAATAAAATCTAATGGCTTGTTTGTTCTGCCTCACAATTCTGTTGGTGAATGCTATTCAAAGTGGTAAGGCCGATAAATGCTGTATTCCATAATGCTACATCTGGATGCTAAAGGAGTAGAATTTGGGCTTTGGTAAAGCACAGGAGAGTCTATGGTATGAAGAATGTCCCTCACTCCAAATGGAGAGTAAAACACACAGTTAAGACAAAGTGGGCTTGGAGCAAGGCATTCTCTAAGTCATTCTCCTTATCAGTCTGTCTGCCTGTGTGTCATCTGTCTGTCTATTATTCTAGTTTCTAGGAGAACTTGATGTGTCCTCTGTTTCAGACCCATTCTTTCTTATTAATTTTCTTGTTTGGAAGTCAAGGTGTGTCTGGAGTAAGTAAGTTGTTATCCGGTGTTCAGGAGCCCTCCTCCTCCTGTTGGGGACAGGGGAGGGGGCTTGGGGGAGGTCTGAGCCATTGCCAAGAGGAGAAGTGATCACAGAACCACTAAGTCTTCTGGCACGTGGCCAACAATCCACAGTGGCCTGTCCTGCATCAGTAGGATCATTAGGCCAGAATATTCCTCTCCACTGGAGGAGAGACGTCCTGGTGTGGAAGTAAGGTGTGCCTCTGGAAACTTAGTCTCCACGCTTCCTCCTAGTCCTGGGCCATTGGGACATTACAGTGTCCTAAGAAGATTCTGCCTTTTCCCAACTGTTTCTCCTCCACCCATGGAATTCTTTCCAAGCTTTGCTTTAGCCTTTGAGTCTTGTGCTTCTTCTCGTGTCTTGAGTTTGGGGTGCTAGGTTCGGAACCCACTTTTCTCCCACACATTTTCCTACTGATGCAGCACAACTCTTGTTTCTACTCATTCAGACCTCACCGCTTTTTATCAGTATGTTTTGGAGCCAGACATGGTGGTACATCCATGTAATTCCAGCACTTAGGAGGCAAAGGCGGGATGTTTCCATCATCAAGGGCAGCCTGGACTACACGGTACACAGCTCTAATCTTAGGACTGGGGAGTGAATGAAAGAGAATCAGGAGATTAAAGGAGACTAGGCCACATGAAATACAGACCCAAAGCAAATGACAGTTTGAGCTATACAATGAGCCCTATTCAAAAAACAGGGGGGACGGGAGCTAAGGGTGTAGCTCTGTGGTAAAGCATGTACAAGGCCCTGGGTTCAAACTCTAGTACTACACAAAGGCATTTTGGATTTTTTTTAAATCAAACATTTTTTTAAAGATTTTATTTATTTATTATGTATACAACATTCTGCTTCCATGTATATCTGCACACCAGAAGAGGGCACCAGATCTCATTACGGATGGTTGTGAGCCACCATGTGGTTGCTGGGATTTGAACTCAGGCCCTCTGGAAGACCAGCCGGTGCTCTTAACCTCTGAGCCATCTCTCCAGCCCCCATTTGGGATTTTTTTTCATTTAAAATTAACCCTTTTCACTGTAATTGTAGTTTGATCTCAACACACACACACTCACAACTCATACACACATTCATTCACACACACACTCTCTCTCTCTCTCTCACACACACACACACACACACTTGCACACACTCTCCCTCTCTCTCTCTCTCTCTCTCTCTCTCTCTCTCTCTCTCTCTCTCACACACACACACACTCATACACACACACACACACACACACATGCAAACTCTCTCCCTCACACACACACATTCACACACTCATATACACATGTTCTCTCTCTCTCTCTCTCTCTCTCTCACACACACACACACACACACACACACACACTCATACACACACATGTTCTCTCTCTCTCTCTCTCACTCTCTCTCTCTCTCTCTCTCTCTCTCACACACACACACACACACACACACACACACCACATGAACTAAATCCTGTGCTTACTCAGAGATACTCTAAGATGCTATCTTTGATGTGAGAGTTGAGAAACAAGGCCTAAATATCAGTACTTCAAATACCATTTCCCTGCTAAGATGAACCAGATACCAAAACTAGTCCGTGCTTAGACTTGTCCATTGTTGAATATTTGGAAGTTTTGATGAATACTGAGGAGCCCATCTCTTGTGGCAGATCACTGCTTCTGGGTACTGTTGTGTTTCTTAACACATAACTTCTAGGTAAGGTAATAAAGGTCAAAGACACAGAGAATTATAGCTGGAGCCTGATGGAGTGGTGGGATAAATAGGTGGCTTGCTATCTGAATGACAAGGATCTTTCTTTCTTTAATAGTTTTTAAATTATTTTTAATTTTGCATAAATGTGTGTATGCGTGCATGTAAATGCAGGTGCCTGAGGAGACTGGGCCCCTAGAGTTGTGAGCCATCTGATGTAGGGGCTGAGTACTGAGCTTGGGTCCTTTGGAAGAACAGTAGGTGCCCTAACCATTGAGCCACCTTGTCCTGACAAGGATCTTTCTGTACTCCTCACAGTCACTAAGAGCACTAATGAATCCCAATCAATGCTGAAAGCAAAACCCTAAATTATAGGTTTCAAGATGATGGGGTAATGCTTCTCATCCTCCACCAGAGGGCATCATCTTCCCATGAGCTGGAAAGGTACTTGCTCTCAAATTGGTATTCAAATACCTAACAATGAGGCAGGGTAGGGTGAGGTGTACTGTCTCTGATTCTTTTGCCTGCTTTTGGGACCCTTCTCCTCCTAGTGGGTTGGCTCATCCAGCCTTAATATGAGGGGATGTGCCTAGTTTTATTATAACTTGACAATCAAAGTTTGGTTGATAACCCTGGGAGGCCTGCCCTTTTCTGAAGGGAAAGGAGGAGGAATGGATCTGCAAGGACATCTATCCTAGACCCAGAAACCACTGGATTAGAGAGGAGACACCAAAGGTAGTGCCGTTAACAATGAATACTCAATGGTAACGAGCTAGCAGTAGGAGCAGTCAGGGGACATGCTGGGAGAACATGCAGTAATTGAAAATTGACTTTGATTTCTGTGGAAAGGTGGAGCAAACTGTCATATGATACAGTAAGAAGCAGCTATGCAGGGTAGGTCTGAGAATGATCCAAGGAAGTATTATTTTAGTGATGACTGGTCATGGAGTTTCTTTGGGGTGGAATAGCTCTGTGATGGGAGGTTTTTTGTTTGTTTGTTTGTTTGTTTGTTTGTTTTTTGAGTTTCCTCTTCTTTTTTTGTTAAATTTTTATTAGTTCAAATTAGGAACAAGCTTGTTTCACATGTCAATCCCTTCTCTCTCTCTCCCTCTTCTCACCCCCAACTTTCCTCCCCCATACCTGACTTACCCCCCTCCCCATCCACCCTACACTCCCCAGGTAAGGTAGGGCCCTCAACCCGAGGGGGGGCTCTGCAAAGTTCGCCAAATCTTCCTGGGTTGGGCCTAGGCCCTTCCCCGTGTGTCCAGGGCAGGAGTGCATCCCTTCACGTGGGATGGGCTCTCAAAGTCCCTTCTTACACCAGGGGCCCCCTGGAGTGCAGAGGCCTCTAATTGACATCCATGTTCAGGGGTCTGGATCAGTCCTGTACTGGCCTCCCAGACAGCATCTGGGGTCCATGTGCTCCCCCTTGTTCATTCCAGCTGTTTCTGTGGGTTTCACCAGCCTGGTACCGACCCCTTCGATCTTCATTCCTCCCTCTCTGCAACTAAGTTCCAGAGTTCAGTTCAGTGTATATCTGTGGATGTTAATGGGAGGTATTTTTGATTGTTCTTTTCATTGGTGCATCCAAAACATGTCAAAATTTTCTGTCAGATGGAGTGCTCAAAGAAGGGACCAGTCCCCGACTTTAGCAGCCATGACAAGCTGTGGAAAAGACTTGAAGGCCTCTGACTCAGCGCACGTCTGACCTTGCTGGGCCTGCCCTAGTCACTAGGAGGTCAGGAACCAATCAGAAGTTAGCTTGTGGGATGCTGGATGTGCTTTACATCTCTGGACATTCTTTACAGTACAAGTGGCACAACAGTGATGTGTAGAGCATAGCAACCACCCTGGGAGGGCCTACAGGCCATAACAACCAGTTGACCAAAAGAACAGGTCATCTAAGCCCGGAAGCCCACCAATCCGGAGACTGTTGCATACCTCTAGACACTCCCCTTAGGCTGCTCCATAAGTTCCCTGACTCGAAGTTTCTCGGGGGTGGGAGGGTCTTTCTTGTGCCATCTGTCGCAATGAATGGATGAAGGGCACAAGTTAATATAGCCAGCTTGCTAAACAATGAGACTCTGCTTTTGCATTGGAAC